TAGGTGTACTTTTTTTTTCTTTTTTGTGAAGCCCAGTAGTCGTCTAACAAGATGCCTTGTTGGAAAAGTCTGAGACACTCTTGAGTTACCTCTCTCTTGAATATTGCTTACATTAATAAACATGACTTAAATAGCCTTCATTTCAATGTTATATAAGATAGGCAGTAAAATTACTAGCGTTGACTCTGACTATAATGTAGATATTATAGAAATGTCAATCCTTAAAATATTTTAGGGGTGCTTGGGTGGCTCAGTCGGTTAAGTGTCCGACTTTGGCTCAGTCTGTGAGTTCTAGCCCATATCAGGCTCTGTGCTGATGGCTCAGAGCCTGGAGCCTGCTTGGGATTCTGTGTCTCCCTCTCTCTCTGCTCCTTTCCTCCTTGAACACACTCGCTCTGTCCCTCAAAAATAAATTAAGAAAAAAACTTTAAAAATATTTTAAATTCTAATATAACAGAGTTTTCCAATATTGCAATTAGTCCTATGTTTTTCCATTTGTTTTTTAACAAATTATATGTTAATTTTGGGACATTAAAATGCAACGTAAATTTGAACCAGATACCTTCCCCTGCCCCTCCCCCAATAAAGATAACACTGAGATTCAAGGAATAAATAAAAAATCTGCTCAGCAACTGTAGAATATTTAGCTTCCTAAATATATCCTCTGTGTGGGAAGCTGGGAGAGGAAAATTAAATTCTTACATCTCTTGAAGTGGATGGGGCCAGTAGTATTTGAAGAAGCCAAGTAGAAAACGGAAGCACTTAAGTTGGCTTTGCCCCCTTGCGGAGAGATGCTTGGCTGGGTCCTGTCCCACGGGGTGCTTTCCAGAAGACGGAGTCCATTTCAGGAGGAGATCTAAACCCGGGCAGAGAGCAGAGATGGGATGGTGTGGCTCAAGCCGGCATTCTTGGAACAGGAGCCTGTGGTTTCTCTCTTACTTCATCTTGTTAAATGTGTCCTGATGATTGGGGTGGAGACCAGGGAGAGTAGTGGCTCAGTCACACTGCCATGTAATTTAAAGCCCTTACAAGCTTCATCCTCAGGCAGCAGATGGGGCTGAGCTGGAGGAAAGGAGGTGAGAAGGAAGTCCCGCTCCCGGGCTCTGACCTCATCCAAACCCCCATCTGGGTCTTGGAAAAATGTGTTTCAAAGTTGGCTTGAGTCGCTGTTGGGAGACTATCTTAATTTAACCTTCTTAGAACTGGCTGCATTGTGAGAAAACTAGTACCACGGCATTGAGTGAGTCTGAAGAGTTGTTTCTGTGATCCCACAGAATTCGTTCTCTGGTCCAGGAAGAATACCTTGACCTTTTCACTTTCAAATCAAGTATCTTTGGATTCCTTGTCTTTGGAATGCGATATTTCATTCTTCAGGCAAGAGGGTAGGACAAATGTATCCAGAATGTAGCATAATTATGGAGAAAATAAGGAAAATTTTTTCTCTGGATGTGAAAAGAAATTCACTGTCAACACGAAGCGTTTATTTATTGCTCACCTGTTCCCAGCACGGAGCGAGGACTACAAAAACCTCTTGGAGGAGAACAGTCAAAATTAAGCAATGAAATTATGTGTTAATTTTTATTCCAAGAAGCAAATAGATTTTTCTCACCTGGTTACCACCAGTATTCTTTTACAATATTGTTTGGTTTTCAATGTGAACATGTGTTAAACCCTATCTTAAACCCAGGTATGGCTGATTAATTCATGAATGTCAATGTTTTAAATGTCACATCATAAAAGCCTTAGGATAGCTCCATTTTTACACTGGAAACCAGATTATTGTGTTTGAATTTTAGAAATGTTTCCTCAAACACTTTCATTTTCTTCAATGGATACTGTTGGTCAGAGAATCTCTTATTTTGAGGGGTTATAAGAAGGTAAGAGAGAGTCACTCTCAGTGAAGACCTTATCATGCTACACACACACACACACACACACACAGAGAGAGAGAGAGAGAGAGAGAGAGAGAGAGAGAGAGAGACGTTATATCATAAGGCAATGACAGTGTTCTGTGTTGTACAGAACAACATCTCATTACCTATAGTTTTACTTTTTTTGGGGGGGGTATAAACCTAAATATCTTAAAATTCTTCATTCACCAGAATTCCTGCTGGAATGAGAACCATACGTATTTCAAAAATTCTTTGCTTAGTTTCTTTGCCTGGGATAACTGTCAAATGCCTTTTAAAGACAATAGGTCCTGCTGTCTGGTTTTTTTTTGGGGTGGGGGGAGGCGTTGATTTGTCTAGTGATGTTTAGGGTTTGTGGTGAATGGTTCTGTATGTAAAGGGGTGAGAAATTTTAAGCTCCCTGGAGAGAAATTTGGGAAAGAAAGAGTGTTTGGGTGCAAATGAAGTGAACTTCAGATAGTGAGTCTTCATAGGAGTTCTTAGAAGATGAGGGAGGAACAGTGGAAAGATCTAATGACAATTTTTTTTTTGCATTAAGTTTTTAAAAAATTTTGGTAAAAACACACAACATAAATTTTTCCATCTTGAAGTGTACAGTTCAATAACATTAAGTATATTCGCATTGTTGTGCAACTGATCTCCAGAACTTTTTCCTCTTGCAAAATTGAAACTCTATACCCATTAAACAATGCCTCATTTCCCCCTCCCCCCAGCCCCTGGCGACTAATAGAATGATTTTACGATGTTGTAGTGGGTTATGCAATATAACTTCCCTCCTTGCTTTAAAAAAACAAAACTATATTGCTCCTTAATGCGTTCATGCAGATTGTGAGGGCTTGAAGTGGAGCCCAGTTATATGCCAGGTTGGATGAAGACAGAGCTCGCAGGAGCTGGAGGCTGGAGTAGCACCTGGCATCCTTTTACACCCTGAGATGCTGAACACTAAGCATTTTTGGCTTGTCCTTTTTTAATTGTGAGAAACCTTGGAAATAGCGTTATGTGTAAGTAGGCTGAGAGCATGTGAGGGTACTGAATATGTCCGGAAATACTCCCTATCCTCATACACCCTTAGCAGCATAATCTTGCTACTTCTACATAATATTTTCAAATTTCCCACAATTAAGAAGTGCCAGTAAGAAAAATAGCAGAGGAAGAAACTTCCCACTTAAAGAAAAGCATTGCAGGGGAGCAAGCTAAGGGGGAAAGAGACCCCTCTGTTCTTAAGAAAATTGTGAATGTAACTTTCAGTTTCGCTTTTTGATGACAACATCAGGGGATATTTCTCCCTCTACATGGCTACTCTCATTTATTTCCTCTTAAGACATAAAGCCTTTGCACAGAGCCCTAGAATCTTTCGGCTGGCACATAGGTTAACTACGCTGAATTTGTGGCTCAGGGACCTCGAAGTGGTGGCAAGTTTTGGCATGGACTGCATATAGCTTATGTGATGTTTATAAGGACAGGAAATGGGATGTGTAGTCTTAGGGCCTTTCAGGAAGGACACAGGGCACAGATGATTTAATAGCAACTTGGCTAAGGTGTCCGGAGTAAATTGTTTTCATTCTCCTTACTGTTATACTTGGTAATTTGCCAGGGTAACAGGTGAAAATTGATGAGAGGGTGGTGATGTCTAGGACATAGGCCCAGAGGAGCCAGGAGTTCTGAATTCCTTCGGCAAGAGCTTTGCCTCATGGGGTGCATTATACGGTAATACTACAGGGCATTACTTTTCAATTTATTATCATAAATAAAGAGGTAATGGTTCCAACAGACTGAGTTTATGCTACGAATGTGTTTATGGGGCAGTAGGGAAAAATGCTATATAATGTAGTTATTATTACATTTTCCATGAATTTGGACATAGGAGATGATCCACGTGAAGGTAAATTTCATGCAAATCTATTTTGAATTTTATTTCCTTTAGAAAATCTCTACTCAGAGGCCTCAGAATAAATAGGGATCATCTTATTTATCTGCAAACTTTATAGGATTTTATAGAACTGTATAGAATTTTTGTTACATCCTGGATGGGGTTGCTAAATAGAACACCCAAAGAAATCTTTGTCTTTAGTATAACGAGAGGAGCAAGAAGGAAGCAATGCATTACTTCCCAATTTCCTAGTGTAAAATTAGTGAAAATATGACCTAGTCAGGCACATACTTACATATATAGACTGTTGTGAGAAAGGGATTAGACTGAAGAGCCCATTTAACAGTAAAGTTGTATTTCTCAGATTTTATATGCAATTTTCTATAAATAATTGAAAAGGGTGATTAAAAAACTCTTTAAAAGTCTATTAGCTACTGTTCCTTAAAGTAATGTTTTTAATAATGTATTGCTAACTAGAAATTAGAATTATAAACCCAGGGAAAGTCAGTTCTTTAAAAAATAATTTCTAGAAAGAACTAGGATTTTCAACGCGTGATGGGTCTACAGGCTTACCCTGTTCGTCTTTGTTTTCCTTGTAGATGGAAGAAAAACAAAGACATAAATCCATGCTGTCTTTGACCTCACATGTTATAAGCATTGTTTTACTTGGAGTTTGGTCTTTCATGGGATTTGTTAATCCTTGTAAGCTTTATTTCCAGTCCAGCATCATTTCTTCAGTTTGGATGCATCTCTCAAAAGAGAGCCTTTCTTGTAGGGTTACTCCACACTACAGGATGAGATTATGCCTCTGGGCCGCAGGAACAGAAAGTAAGGGGTAATTAAAGCAGACAACTGAACTATTTCCCCACCACTGCCCTTCTCAAAAGCAGAGTTTGAGATTTCCGGGGAGAAGTACAGAATTATTAGAAGATCTAATTTTACTCCAATGCATGGCAAATAATAGATATGTCATGAGCCTTCCGGTTCTGGCTCAGGCCTGAGAATGCCCAACAATGACACTGGAAGATGAATGTGGAGAATATCAGCCCACCTCCCTATTTTCAGTCAAGCAGAATCAGCCAGACCCTGTCCAATGTTGACTGCCAATACTATTGTCCTGCAAAAATCTCTCTCTAAAGAACATCAGTAGAGCAAAATCATTTATAATGTATTCCGATACAAAGAAATGGACTGATTTCTTCTTGTTGTTGTTTGTGAAGCCTCTGCCGCCTTGTCATGACTCCGTGGAATCCATGCAGGTGTTCAAACAGCACTGTCAAATAGCAGAAGAATACAATGAGGTCAACAAGGAAATCGCTCTGCTTGAGGAAAGGAAGTAAGTACTGTTTCCCTGAACCCTCTCACCTCTGAGTGATGTCTCCTGGTCATGGACTGGGGGAGGTGGGCACGGAATGGGCTGAACTTGAGGGTGAGAGGGAGGGGTGTAGGCAAGTGACATTCTGTGGTTCAGAGGTTACTGGGCAACTTCCATGTTTTTATCACGTTTGACTATAGAAAGAATGCAAATGGAACTGCTGAGGATTAAAAGCTCTACTCTACGGAGTACTGAGACAAATAACAGGAGTACTTCCTACCCAAACCCAATTTTTTGATCATCATTTTTAGATCAGGAAGGTAAAAATGCCCAAACAGCACCCAGACGCACACTATGTGCCCTGTGGATGTGCCCAAAGCCCCCAGAGCACTTTGGCTTCAAGTGAGTTTTAATGAATGGTTACATGGTGGCATTCCCACGTCAAGTAAAGAAGCCACTGTGACAGATCTTTGGAATAATGTAAATGTATTAACATTTTATAGTCCAATAGCCCGAGGAAGTTTTTTTATTTTGATAGCTCCATTACCATTCCCGTTCTACTGTAGGGAACTTTGGGTATCTATTAATTAAATTAATTAAAGCATTCTAATTTTAGTCACACTAAGCTTTTTCTTTCAGAATTATCATCCTTTTTAATTGCACTCCATTCTGCCCGTGTCTACCCCAGTGACCTCCATTCCTTCATACTTTCAAAGCACCAGACACTTTTCCATCCTAGCACTGGGTAGTTTGCACTTACACATTTATTAGTGGGATCTTTTGGTTAATAGTTGTGTCTCCTACTAAGTGGTAAACTACTAAGTGCTTTGAACCCCTGAAAGCAGGGCAAGTCAGGTGTTACTCACCACCATATTTCTAAAGCTGGACACAGTACATGGGATGTAAATGCTGAATCCATTTTTGTTGAGTGAGTGACACATAATCAGAACCTATTTTGATTCTTTAACTTCCTACTTTTCCCCCTCTTCCTCTTACTGATACATGATATATATTTATTACTTAGTTTTTAAATCAAAGTGAGTGAAATATGTTATGTTTTGAGAAATTTATAAAATTCTTGGGACTCTTTGAAGACCCCCCTCCACCCCCTAGATCATGGTTGGACAGTACAATATGGTGGAGAGGAGTATGGGTTATGGGGTCAGACTTTGCACTTACTGTAAGACCTCGGATAACAAACCTTTCCTTACTGCCTTGCTGTGTTGTGCTTCAAATGTAAAATCATACCTGGACTTATGGCCAAAGGGGGTTAAAATATGTTTAAAAAAATTTTTTTAATGTCTATTTATTCTTTTTTTTTAATTTTTTTAATGTTTTTATTTATTTTTGAAGGAGAGAGAGAGAGACAGCATGAGTGGGGGAGGAACAGAGAGAGAGGGAGACACAGAATTCAAGGCAGGCTCCAGGCTCTAAGCTGTCAGCACAGAGCCTGATGCGGGGCTCAAACTCACGAACTGTGAGATCATGACCTGAGCTGAAGTCGGATGCTTAACCGACTGAGCCACCCAGGCACCCCTAATGTCTATTTATTCTTGAGACAGAGACAGAGCGTGAACAGGGGAGGGGCAGAGAAAGAGGGAGACACAGAATCGGAAACAGGCTCCAGGCTCTGAGCTGTCAGCATAGAGCCCGACGTGGGGCTTGTACCCACGAATTGTGAGATCATGACCTGAGCCGAAGTCAGATGCTTAACGACTGAGCCACCCAGGCGCCCTGGGGGTTAAAATATGTTTAAGAGGAGATCAGAAAAACACAACTTCTCCTCATATATCTGAGACTTTCTTTTTGGTCTGAGAGTTTTCAGACCAAGGTGGTTGGAAGGCTCAGATTGCACATTTGCATACAGTCTGAGTCCTAAAAAAAGTTTCTTAAAGAAGCTGAAGTTTACTAATAATGTGGCCTATAGTGAAATTAAAGGAGAATTTGTATAATCAATAACATATAAATGTGTCTGTGTGTGTCTGTGTGTGCGTCTGTGTGTGTGTGTGTGTGTGTGTGTGTGTGTGTGTGTGTACATCAACTATGCTGTTGAGGCAGACAAAAGCCAGGTAATTCTGTATTTATTTGTAAACTCTTCAGATTGAAGGTAATGGAGGACTTGGCTTATTTTAATTAACCCATGTGTGGTTTTTTTTTTGGCAATGCAAAACTTACCCACTAAATTATATGTTCTGTGAGTTTATATTTTTTGTATGTTTTGTTAAAAAATATGATAGGATAATGATGTAAGAGTGACTCATCTGGTCTTTTGTTGAAACATATCCCTGCTGTTTCTGCATTAACTCATCTTACTTTTTCCCTAAGCCTATTTGAACTTTGGACTTGTCTTGAAACTAGGATATTATCTCCCTCCTTCCCCAGCCCCTACTTTCTTCCTAAATAATTGGCTAGATGCATGGTAAAGGCCAAATTCTTTTGTTATCTTTTTTCCTTTCTTTTTAAATAAAGTCTCTCAAATTCCTTTTTCTCCATTCCTTCTTGTGCTGTTTGGGGTCAGGACTTGCTGCTTCACATCTTGGTCAATGTAATGTTATACCTGGTTTCCCTGCCTATGATTTCCTGTTGTTGGAAAAGGACACGGAGTTCTTGGCCTGGTTTGCAAGCTCTAGCCCCCTATGGCTTTACACCCCAGCAGAATGTTCTTTCTCATCATTGTCTTCAGCTCCATTGATCTCTTCGCTTCTTCCTGCCTCTGTGACCTTGTTCACAGCAGCCTCTGGGTCTGGAGCACTTACTCCTTCCTCAGATGCTACCCTCGAGGAGAGCTTAGCTAATATCCCTGCCCAAACACTCCATGGGATTCATCTCTCTTCCTGGGTGAAAGAAAATACACTGGAATGACTCTTTTTGCACGTTTGTAGGCTGGGGTTATCAATAGTTATCCTTTTAACTTCACGTCCTGACTTTCTGACTGTGCATAGTTACCTACAAATGTGAATACCTTTGAATATCTCTTTGTGTCCCCATCACCGAACAGGGACTTGCGCATAGGGTCAAACATGAGTGAGGGTGATTTTGAGTGATTGATTGTAGGATATAGTAATACCCTCTGTGTATACAGTGTAACAAATGTGTCATTTGTAATTTATATGGTCCATATTTAAAATACAGAGTCAATGTCAGCATTAAGGAATTGCTAAGGTAAATTAAAATAGGAAGTATGGTTATATCTTATATTTATAAATAAATGATCCTGGTCCTCCAAGTGTTATTGGTGATCATTGTTTCCATTAACACTTTACTGAAGTGGAAATTCATTACACAACAACTAATTTCCAGAACAGTGTTTAAGCAAGATAAATTAAGCCAAATGGATCTGACCCACGTAATTAACTATCTGTTTTTTGGTGATTTGGATAAGAATTTCTCATCATTTTATACAGTGTGGGCGATTATGTTGGTCTCTGGTGATTGGCTAGCGTAAGCTAGACACAGAGAGAGATGTTAACTCAGGTATTTTATTTTATTTTATTTTATTATTTATTTTTGGGACAGAGAGAGACAGAGCATGAACTGGGGAGGGGCAGAGAGAGAGGGAGACACAGAATCGGAAACAGGGTCCAGGCTCTGAGCCATCAGCCCAGAGCCTGACGCGGGGCTCGAACTCACGGACCGCGAGATCGTGACCTGGCTGAAGTCGGACGCTTAACCGACTGCGCCATCCAGGCGCCCCTGTTAACTCAGGTATTTTAAATGAAAGTTTTTCTTTAGTAGAGTCAGGCAGGCACAGGTTAAGCTGAACTTCTCTCTCATCTCCAGAGGGGGTCACCCTGGATCAAGCTTGGGAGACCGCAGAGGGGAGCGAAGAGTTGATTATAATTATTATTTTAAATCATGTCTATTAGATAAAGAGAGTCCAACATTTTCTAGGACTATAAACTCAGCACGCAGTGAATTTAATTTAAAGAATCACTTCTGGCTTATGTGATGTATGAAAAGCTTGTTCTTACTTTTATTGGATTTTTTTCTCAATTGAAAAAAAAAATGACAATTTTATTGAAAGCCTTAAAAACTTACAGAGAATTCTGACATCTTTCCAGGACTCCTACTATTATTTCTTGCCTCTTTCTAGGCCTTTTGAATGTGAATAATCTTATAGAATTGCATATATAGTAAAATGAAACATATACATGATTTTCTCAACAAATAGTATAAACTCTTAAAATATAACACATGCAGTTTTTTGTGGACGTAATGGAAAGAAGTGAGAGGTGGACATTGGATGCCTTCTGAAATTTATCATCCATATTTTGACAGCAAGTTAAGGTACATGATTAAGCTACAATTAGATCTAAAATTGAGATTTACAATTAGTAAAGGTTGCTTTGCTCCAGATAGGGTATTTTATCTTGTTCAAAGGAGAAACCATTTGTCTTCTGTGTATATGAAACATTGTGCCAGGTGCTGTGGTGTTTAAAAGATTGACTTAGAATGTCAGAAAGAGAGATAGATTCTTAGAAAAGTCAGGATGAAAAATGTCACATAATTAAGAAAAAATAACTCCATGGTTTTCAGTACACTCACAGAGTTGTGCAGCCATCATTACAGTTTTAGGACATTTTCATCACCCAGGAAACCTCGTAGCTCCTGCTTCCCTCCCACCCCCCACCCCCAACAGCCACTGGCCACCACTCATCTACTTTCTCTCTATGCATTTGCCAATTCTGGATACACCATATAAAAGGAACAATATGGTCTGTGGTCTTTTGTGGCTGGCTTCTTTCACCTGACAGGATATTTTCAAGGTTAATCCACATTGTAGCATGTATTCCTTTCTCTTGTTGAATAATATTCCATTGCACGGAGAGTCCATACTTTATCTGTTCACCAGTTGATGGACATTTGGGTTGTTTGCCCTTTTGGTTATTATGAACATTTGTGTACAAGTTTTGGGTGGATGTATGCTTTCGGTTCACTTGGGTATGTGCCTTGGAGTGGAACTGTCGGGTCATGTGGTAAATCAACGTGTAACCTTTGGAGGAATTGCCAGGCTTTTTCTA